GGGAGGCTGCCAAAATGAGGAGACAAAGAAACATGGCCTAAATGAAAGGACAGATCAAAACTCCAGAAAAAGAGCTAAATGAATGGAGATAAGCAATCTATTAGGTGCAGGGTTCAAAACACTGATTATAAGGATGCTAAAGGAACTAAGTGAGGACCTCATCAGCATAAAAAGATCCAGTCAGAAATGAAGGATACACTGATTGAAATAAAGAACAATTTACAGGGAAACAATAGTAGAGTGGATAAAGCCGAGAATCAAATCAATGATACAAAACATGAAGAGGCAAAAATGAACCAGTCAGAACAATAGGAAGAAGAGAATAGGAAGAGAATCCAAAAAATGAGGATAGTATAAGCAGCCTCTGGGACAACTTTAAGCAATCCAACATTTGCAGTATAGGGGTGCCAAAAAGAGAAGAGAAAGAGCAAGAAATTGGAAATCTATTTGAAAAAAATAATGAAAGAAAACTTCCCTAATTTGGTGAAGGAAATAGACATGCAAGTCCAGGAAGTACAGAGGCCCAAACAGGATGGATGCAAAGAGGACTACTCCAAGCAGAGCATAATTAAAATGCAAAAGGTTAAAGATAAAGAGATGGGGATGTGGAAGAATGGGTGGTAAGTGAGGGGATTAAGAAATACAAATAGTGTCCTGCCTGGTGTGGCTCAGTGGACTGTGAACCAAAGGATCACTGGTTCAATTCCCAGTCAGGGCACATGCCTGGGTTAAGGTCCCCAACTGAAGTCCCCAACTGAGGTCCCCAACTGAGGTCCCCAGTTGGGAATGCATGAGAGGCAACCACACATTGAAGTTCCTCTCCCTCTCTTTCTCCCTCCCTTTCTCTAAATAAATAAAATATTTTTAAAAATAAAAATAGTTTCTGAATAGTCATGGGAATTTAATGTACAGCATAAGAAAGGGAGTAGCCAAAGAACTTATATACATGCCCGTGGACATGAACAAGAGTGAGGGGATTGCCAGAGGGAGTGGGGGGTGCTAGGTGGAGAGGAGCAAAGGGGGAAAAGTCAGGACAATTGTAATAGCATAATCAATCAAATATAATTTAAAAACTTATCAAAATTGGTGAATTTTTGTGTAGCCATTTTAATAGTGAAGATGGAAGAAAATATGCAACATTTTTAGCATATTATGCTTTATTATTTCGAGAAAGGTAAAAATGCAACTAAACACACAAAAAAAGATTTGTCAGGGTATGGAGAAAGTTCTGTGACTGATCATTCATGTCAAAAGTGGTTTGCAAAGTTTTGTGCTGGAGATTTCTCACTGGGCAATTCTCCATGGTTGGGTAGATACGTTTAAGTTGATAGCAATCAAGTTGAGACATTAAAAACAATCAACATTATACCACACAGATGATAAGTTGACATACTCAAAATATCCAAATCAACAAAACGTTGGTAAAAATAAAAAATGTCCTTTATTTTATGAAAAAAAAACACAAAAAATAAGTGAACTTTTTGGCCAGCCCTATAAGAACACTAGACCCTTATCAAATGATTTCCAAATACTTTATTTCATTATGTGGGCTGGCTTTTCACTTTTTTGGTAATGGTTCACACAAAAGGTTTTAATTTTAATGAAGTCCAACTTATTTATTTTTCCTTTGCTTGCTTGTGCTTTTGGTGCCATATCAAAGAAACTGTTAGTTAATTGAAGGTCATGAAGATTTATAGTCTTAGCTCTTACATTAAGGTTTTTGATCTATGTTTAATTAATTGTTGTATGTGGAATGAGAGAGAGGTCCAGTTTCATTCATTTGCATGTGGAGGTCCAATTTCCTGGCTTCTTTTGTTAAAAAGACCGTTCTTTCACACTGAATAGCCTTGGTACCTTTGTAAAAAAAATTAATTGAGGGATTACATCTGGACTCAGTTCTATTCCATTGATCTCTATGTTGTCCGTCCTTATGCCAACACCAAACTTTCTTGATTAGTTTGCAGTAAGTTTTGAAATCCAGAAGTGTTAGTCCTCCAGCTTTGTTCTCCTTTTTCAAAATTGTATTAGCTATTCCGTGTTTCTTGCACTTCCATGTGAATTTCAGGATCATTTTATCAATTTCCCCTCTCTTTCTTACCCTTCTCTCCCTCACTACCCTGGCATTTAAAAATTTTGTATTTATTTATTTTTAGAGAAAGGGGAAGGGAGGGAGAAAGAGAGGGAGAGAAACATCGATTGGTTTGCCTCCTGCACATGTTCCCACGGGGGACCAGCTGCAACCCAGACATGTGCCCCCACCAGAACCAAACCGGTGACCTTTTGCATTGCAGGACAATGCTCAACCAACTGAGGTGCATTGCCCCCACATTTATAATACCTAACTATGGAGGTTTAGGGTTAAAGTGCCAACTGGAGGTGGAGCCAGGGACCATATGACCGTGGGCAAGTTACTCCACCTCTCTGTACAGTGAAATTAATGTCTAATCTACAAGGTCATTATTGTAAAAATTAGATTAAATGTGATAATATATTAAAGTGATTATATTAAGTAGATAATATACTAAAGATTATATTAAATGTGATAATCCACAGAAGAGACTGTGGATGAGTCAGATCATCAGCTTGTTAACAACTTGTTGTGACAAAACAACAAAAACAAGAATGGCCACCCTTTTGGGGGGCACTTGGTCTAGGCCCGATGAGGAGCTAAGCACTTGACATGAGTCTTCTCACTCATTCCTCATCATAACCCATGAGGCAGAAGATACTTTCATTTATAGCTACCCTTAGCCCCTCCTTCCACAGACAGAACATCAGGACCGGGTGCTTTTAAAAAAGGGCCTTGGAAAAATCCCTAACGGGTGTTGGTAATCGGGTTGAACACCACACCCTGAACTCTCCCATCCAACGACCTTCTGCCATCCCACTCTGGTTGCAACATGTGGGCAGCTAGCACTTCGCCTCATGCCACCCGCCCTGCTCAGCTCTGTCCTCATCCTTCTCAGACATGCTGTCTCTGCCCCATCTCTTCCCTCGCCACTTCCATCTCCTGCCACACCCCGCTCCCACTCCCAGCGCCCACTGAAGCATAAAATGCAGACAACAGTCTCTCCCCCTTGAATTGCTGAGAAGCAAAAGTTACAATGGTGTGTTGTAAAATGGAATCATGAAATGCCACTGCATCTATTAAGGACTCCTCACTGAATGCTCCTCATACTCTGCCGGGTGAAGACTGTTACTGCTGGTCGATGAGGGGAACGTGCAAGGCTGGTGAGGAGCTGAGCGGGGTCCACAGCATTTTTCACTCTGTAAAGCAGGATCATGAGATCAGTCTTGGCCTTATCAGAGGACCTGCCTGCTGGCTCCCTCTTGTACACACTGACCTCGTTCATGCTGGGCAGATACCATATGGGAGTCTTTAGTCTAGAGGAGAGGTACTCAGAGTTGGCCTACCATATATTCATTCTACACACACTGGCCATGGGACCAGTGATGTGCTCGGGACTTGGTGGGTATGGAAATGAGGCATTGGCTTCACAGTATTCATGGTCAAGCAGGAGACACAGATGCACAACTGGCCATTAGGTGACACCTGCCACTGTGCTCCTACACCGGTGTGTTCCTGGTGCCCTAGGAGGCCAAAGCAGGGAGGCTAGAAAAGGCCAAGTGTTTCCATGAGACGTGAAATGGAGAAAGATAGAGATTGGGGTTTAGGGGCGGGGTTTGGAAATTGAAGCAACTATGACAAGAGTCTCTAAATATGGGATCCCAGTCTGAGATCTAGGGATGGGTCATGGAATGAGATGGGTGCCATGTTCCACTCTGTCTGACAGTCACCTCAGTCCCTAACAACCATTCTGAAGTGACCATTATGATTTACAAAGCCCCTGCATGGTTACACCTGCCTCCCATCTTCCAAATCTCAGGACAGCGGTCAAATCTGAGTACATCAGGACTTTCCTACCAGCAGAAATGGCTGGTTCCCCATTCCCCATGTACACCTCTTATCTCAGGTTGCAGTCCCCATTCCAGGGTATGTGGGCTAGTGGCTTATTGAAAGTGCTTCCAGGAGAAACTAGCAGGGGAGTGGGAAGCAGGCCCAGAAGGGAAGAAGGCAGCAAAGTCCTGCAGCACGAAGGGTAACTGGATTGCCCCCACCAAGAACTCAGGAAGCAGTGTAGGTCACACTGGACCTGGAGTCTGTATCTTTCCAGCAGACATTGGTCAAGGGCTGCCCTACAGCTGTAAGTTTCCAGGTACTTCACACGTTTCTAGAGCCTGCAGGTGAGGCACTCTGGCAGCCTGTTGGCTGGGACTGCGAGACTTCCAAGAGCCAGTGGTAAAGGGGTACAAGGGAATACAGACAGATAATGACAGCATCTGCTTGCTCGATGACCACTATGCCAGCACCTGTAATGGTTTATTATATACACTTGATCTCAGATCTGTCTCCCTACTAAAACTCTGGCCATAGCACATGCCTAATAAAATTGGTGAATGAATGGAAGGAAGGAGAGTTTCTTCAGCTAAAGAAATTGAGAGAGGTGACTTATCCAGGCTCCCAGGGGGAATGAGCAGCACAGCTAGGATGCCAATTAGCCTTCCTGACTATGCATTCAAAGCTTTTGCACTCGGCTCCTTTGGGGCAATTCCCCCCCTCCCCCCCTCCCCCCTCCCCCCTTTTCTTAGAGCACCAGCAGAGTTGACTATGCATTCAAAGCTTTTGCACTTGGCTCCTTCGGGGCAATTCCCTCCCCCGCCTCCCCCCCCCCACCACCGGACCTTTTCTTAGAGCACCAGCAGAGTTGACTCAGCTGGAGAACAACTTCTTCTTTGTAGAACTTAAGCCTCTAGGACTTCCAAGGAAGCCTGGAGGGGTAGAGGAGAGGTCATATTAGTACATATTTCCTCCTAGTTTCCTCTCTTAAGGACAAAGGGAGGGTAGAGTGTGCTTCAAGGAACTAGGCCCAGTGTTCCCAACCCTTCTCTTTCTGCACCTCAGCTTTGAGCCCTGAGCTTCCTTCCCTGCTATCCAGGACATGACAGGCCTCACGACCATCGTAGCTGGCCTCCTGCTCCTGGCCCTGTGTACCTACTACATTGCCCCTGCAAATAAGATTTCTAGCCCTAGCCTAGGTCTCTTGGGTAGCACAGCCATCCTGAGGGCATGGCTGGGATGGCACAGTGAAGGGTGGAGGTCCAACCAGTCTGGAGCTAGAGGAGAATGCTGTAGCCCAGTGACTGGACTGGAGGTATTTAGTGTATGAGAAGGGCCCCATATCCAAAGCCCAGAGCCTAGGGCAGGCTGAGAAAGGTCATGGCTCTTGTCTCTTCTCATGTTTTAGGCTCTGTGGTCATCTCCTCTTCTTGCTGCAAGACCTTCATTTCCAAGAAAACTGAGAACAGAATGGTAAGCCACTAGCTGTCCAATAGGAGTATCTGACCCCAAGGTGAGAGTGCTATAACTAACTAGTACTTCTCCTTGGGCATCTGCTGGGGGTGGGGTGCAGGGAGATGAGACTCCAGGGTCACTGAGGAGTGAAGTCAGGAATCCCTGGCCCTGTGATCCTGGAGAACTCATCTCACCTCCCTGAGCCTCAGGTTCCTCACCCATAAAACTAGAAAAAGGATTCAGAGTCAGCAATCATTTACTGAGCATCAAATGTATACTAGGCACCATTCAGGGCACTCGGGGTAGGGCAAAAGTAGGTTTATAGTTGTTTGTATGGAAAATAATACTATAATAAATAATAAGAATAAATGCTGGGTTTTGTGTATTCACAACTATAAACCTACTTTTCACCCACCTTATATAACATTATCTTAACTAACTCTCTTGAGCATCCTTTGAGCCAGATAGAATTATCTCCACTTTGCAGAGGACAACTGAGACCCAGAATGGCTCGAGGTCACCTAGGAATCCCCAAAATTCATAGCTGCCTCTCACGTGAGGCAAGAGGTGTGAACCCACTATATAAACAGTGGCATGCCATAGAAACGTGATGTTCATATTAGGAGCTTTCCCCACAGGCATGAGGCTCAGATCCATAGTCTGGTACCCCAAGCTCCGAGCTGGGCTGGAAGAGGCCATCCCGCTGCCACTCCCAGCCCTGGAACCCATATCGGCCTTACTCCTTTGTATGGTGTGTGAACTCGAGGCTTGTGTCCTTTTTTTTCTTGAGGGCTTTCATTGCATTTTCTTACTCCCCCCTGTGGGTAGAGATCCAGCATTATCTAAAGGCAGGACTGGGCCTCTCCCATCAGACAGGAAGGTGACTGAACATGAGCACTGAAACAGAGATACAGACACACAAAGAGATGGCACCATATGATTAACTTGCTAAGAGACTGGGCAGCAGCTTGTCCTCCATGGGCTGTCACACCTACCTCTTCCTCAGTAGCTCCAGGTTCCTGCCAGGTCTCAGGGGTACCCTGTCAATTTCTCACAGCCTTGCCACCAAGCAGGGCCAGAAATTCTGTGGTGACCCTGAGAAGCACTGGGTCCAGAGGTACATGAAAAACTTGAATGCTAGGGGGAAGAGACACCTTGCCAACAGCTCCATGTAGCTACTTCCCAACTCCATCCTGAGGCTTAGGTCTGGGTCTCAGATTCTTGCCAGTCTGCTTATGGCCTAGTGAGCCAGCAGTAATAAGGGAAAAATAATGTTCCTATTACTTGGCCTCATTTGCAGGGGATGTGTCTAATCCAGCAATTTTCAACAAGTGTGCTGCAAGAAGTTTTAAAACATGCAATACTTGACTATTTAGTCAGGGGCCCTGATCTCTTTTCCCTTAGACTGTCAAATAAAAAAAGGACAACAGCCAACATAACAATAGCCATCCTATTTTTTTTGTCAGATTGGCAAAAAATAAATTTTTGGTGTGTTATGGAATTTTAATAATTAGCTTGTATGCCATGAGATGAAAAAGGTTGAAAGTCACTGGTCTAGTCTATAAAAAGCCCAAGGCAGACTTGTGGCCAAGATGGAGGCATATGTAGATACGCTTTGCTTCCTCACACAGCCAAAAGAAGGATAACAATGAATTTAAAAACAAAAAACAACCAGAACTGCCAGAAAATCGAACTGTATGGAAGTCCGACAACCAAGGAGTTAAAGAAGGACATTCATTGAGACTGATAGGAGGCACAGAGATGGGGAGCCAGGGTGGAGAGGGTGTGCAGCAAAGTGGTGGCTGGTAGACCAGTGGGTGGGGTGGCGCTGGCAGAGCAGGGAGGAACAACTGTGGGAGGATAAACTGCGGAGTGAGACAGACCCCACATTTGAATGTGGATAAGCTGGGAGGAACAATTCCAGAATGAGACAGACCATACAACCCAGGGTTCCAGCACTGGGTAATAAAGCCTCAAAACCTCTCACAACCTATGGGGGTTGTGGCAGTGGGGGAAACCCCCAGTGTCACAGGAGAGTCAGTTGGAGAGGCCCACCAGGGAGCACCTAGAAGGGTGCAATTCATTTGTGGGCAGTGGGGGAAGTGACTGAAAGCAGGGCAAGAGCTGAGTAAGCAGCATTGTCCCCTCTCCGACCCACCCCCACATACAGAGCCACAGTTCAGCGAAGTGGGTTGCCCCGCCCTGGCAAATGCCTGAGGCTCCACTCCTTACAATGTAACAGGTACACCAAGACAAAAAATATGGACCAAATGAAAGAATAGATCAAAACTCTACAAAAAGAACTAAGCGATAAGGAGATAGCCAACCTATCGGGGCAGAGTTTCAAACACTGGTAATCAGTGAAGTGATTGAGTACGGCTGCAAAATAGAAGAAGTGAAGGCTATACAAAGTAAAGAAAAATATACAGGAAACCAACAGTGAAGGGAGGGAAACTGAGACTCAAATCAACAATTTGGAACAAAAGGATAAATAAACATTCAACCAGAACAGAATGAAGAAACAAGAATTTAAAAAAAAAGTGAGGAGAGGCTTAGGAACCTCTAGGACAGCTTTAAACATTCCAACATCTGAATTATAGGGGTGTCAGGAGGAGAAGAAATTGAAAGAGAAAGAAATTGAAAACTTATTTGAAAAAATAATGTAAGAAAACTTCCCCAAACTGGTGAAGGAAATAGATATACAAGTTCAGGAAGCTCAGAGAGTCCCAAAGAAGTTGGATCCAAAGAGGAACACATTAAGACATATCATAATTAAATTGCCAAAAATTAGAGATAAGGAGATAATCTTAAAAGCAGCTAGAGAAAAGGAGACAGTTACCTACAAAGGAGTTCCTGTAAGACTATCAGCTGATTTCTCAAAAGAAACCTTACAGGAAAGAAGGAGCTGGAAAGAAGTATTTCAAGTCATGAAAGACAAGTGCCTACATCCAAGATGACTCTATCCATCAAAGCTATCATTTAGAATGGAGGACAGATAAAGTGCTTCTCAGATGAGGTCAAGTTCAAGGAGTTCATTATCACCAAGTCCTTATTATATGAAATATTAAAGGGACTTATCTAAGAAAGTATCAAAACTATGAACAGTAAAATAGCAACAAACTCACAACTATCAGCAACTGAACCTGAAAAAAAAAACAACTAAGGAAACAACTGGAACAGGAAATGAATCACAGAAATAGAAATCACACAGAGGTTTATCAGCGAGGAGGGGGATGAGGAGAACAAGGGAAGAGGCACAGGGAACAAGAAGCATAACTGGTAGGTACAAAATAGACAGGGGGAGGTTAAGAATAGTACAGGAAATCAAGAAGCCAAAGAACTTATATATACGACCCATGGACATGAGCTAAGCAGGGTGGGGAATGCTGGAGGGAATAGGGGTACCAGGCCAAGGGTGATAAAGGGGAGCAAAATTGGGATAACTATAATAGCATAATCAATAAAATATACTTAAAAAATAAAACCAATACTTATACACTTTAAGACCCAACTTTCTTCACATAATTTTATCTAGATCTAGGCAGCAATATACAGTTTTAGAAATGCAGACATATAATGGGATAGAGTTAGAACTGGAACTAAATAATACTGAATGTCAACTATATTTGAAAAATAAAATTAAAACTATTAAACCCAAGGCACAGTTGCTCAGGCCTGCTTCTGGGGCCTGAGCAACAGCTCCAAGCATCCTGGACCCTGGCCACCCCTGAGCTGGGGGAGAAGTTCTGGGAGGAGGGCAATGGCAGGCTTTACCCCCCTCCAGAGCTAGAGCTGGCCCTTTTCTGCCTTCCAGGCTCCTTCATAGCCCAGGTGCATGAAGCCCAACCTGCAGACACACCTGCTTGCACCTTAGCCTGCAGCTGGTTTCTCTGGGCCTTCTCGCTGATATTGCAGTGGGGCCTACAAGCTGTCTGTCTGTCTGTGTGGGGATGGGTGATCTGCCAACAGCTGTAGCTCTCTATCATGTGGGGATGATCTTGGCTTGCCCCACTCCCAGCACTCTGAATGAATAAAAATCCAACAAAAGTAGAGGGCTCCTTTGTTGTATTCACTGCTAGATCCTGGCACTTCTTGCACACTTCATATGGATATGATTAACAAGTTTTCAGGAGCTCACTGGTGTTTGTTCTGACATGAGCATGGAGGATAATGGGTCAGCCTGGGTATTTTAATTCCTGTGTGAAGATATGGCTTCAAGGCGATGTCCTACTTTGTGACATGACTTGCTTCATGCTGCTTTGGGAACAAAGACCTGCTTTGATTTGAAAGCTGGTCTTTCCCCACATTTTGGTGAGGGGAAGATAGCATTGGGGCTGAGGGGTAGAAGGACCCCACCTTTTTTCCCCCGTGAATGAGATACATGTGATTTGTATGCAGAGCGTGGACACACTTGCCACTCTCAAGTAACAATCCAAGTAAAATGTGATTTCTCCTTTGACTGTAGCTGTATCCTACCTGTTCTCATCTCAGTTGGGGACAGTTGAGTGTGAACAGGAAGCACCCTGAATTGCCCAGGTGAGGCCTGGGGTGGGGGTGAACGCAGCCCGTGACCATGGTATCCCAGGAGTGGTCTCAATCAGCTCTTGGGAGTCCTGTTTTGAACTTTAAAAAACACACATGCACCGCTGGATTCAATTAACTTTTTAAAAATGACAGCAGAAGACATTATTGCACAAGGAGCTACTATAGGCATTGGGAGGCTATGGCTTCACATCATGAAGGAGAAATATAACATACATTAACAAATCAAGAGGAGTGTGGGTTTAGTCCTTCATTTAAGGCTTTATAAGCTGCATGACCTTGAAATATATCACTTAACTTCTCTGAGTCTTGGTTTCCCTAATTTGTAAAATCCATGCACCCTCCTCCTACCTCCAGCTTCTCTTTCTCCCTTGGGTCCTGCCCAATCCAACCTGTACTCTTTCTGCTTCTTCTTTGCAGAGGGTAATTACCACTTTTCTTAATAAAGGTTTTTGGCCTCTATTTCTGACTGCAGGGAACAATATATTGTGACAGACTTTTCCTGGAACCCGCACAGTCTCTTATTTTTCAGTCTCTTATTTTTAACTTCTGAATGATGATAAACCCATGGAATGTACTCTTGCAGGACGCTGTGAGTGTGGCCGGGTCACAATGTCACCCAGTGATACTTTCTGAGAGTTACCCAGAGACACTTCCCTCAGTATGCAGAATCTAGGAAAGTTGCACTTCTCCCAGGAATCTGGGGGTTTGTTTTATTTTCTGGATACTCTGAATCATGGGACCAATTGCATTTCCCTTTTTGTTTCGGCTAATAGAAACAGCTCTGCAAGTGCAACAACCTTATTGCTTCAATATCCTCCCTTAATTACAGAGTAGTTTTGGCTCCTGGGGCTAGCAAACACTGAAGCTCCTTTCTCAGGGAAGGGCGCCCAGGGCCCAGGACCCTAAGACACTCAGAGGCAGGACAAGGCACAGGCATAAGACAGACTTGATTTTGAAACTTGGCCCTGCCACCTACTAGCTGTGGACCTTGAACAAATCACCTCACCTCTCTGAACTTCAGTCTCCTTCTATTAAAGGGGAGATAATAAAACCTCCCTCATGAAACTGTCACAAGGATAGAGGGAGTTACTGGTAACAAACAAACTAAAAGGGTTTGCCGTTTTCCAATTCTAGAAAACATGATTTTCTTTTCTAGATTCCACCCTGTTTCTGTTAAACATGTTGACCTTTAAAAACAAAATCCCAGCAATTCCACTGCTGGAATTATACCCTAAGAGTCCTGAAACATCAACTCAAAAGAACCACATTGTTCATGGCAGCATTATTTACAATAGCCAAGTGCTGGAAACAGCCTAAGTGCCCATCAGTAAATGAGTGGATCAAAAAACTGTGGTACATTTATGCAATGGAATACTACACAGCAGAAAGAAAGAATACCTACCCTATGCAACAGCATGGATGGAGCTAGGGAGTATTATGCTAAGTGAAATAAGTCAAGCAGTGAAAAACAAATAACATATGATCTCACCTATAAGTGGAACCTAATCAACAAAACAAACAAGTTGAGCAAAATAGAAGCAGAGACATGGAAATAAAGAACAAACTGACAGTGACCAGAGGGAAGGGAGAAGGGAATGACAGGGAAAGAGGGGAAGGGTCGAGTCAAGGA